GGATGGTACAAAATCCCCATAGCATGAAGGAAACAAGGATTACTGGAAGGCTGGAAGACAAATCCAAGGCTTGCAAAGTAACGCAAAGGCTGTGAGCCTCAGGTTTGGGCACAATTGCAAACCCAGACTCTTTTTGCATATATGCCATGTTCTGTTTATCTCGCCACCTCGTCCTTGTAGCTGCTATAGAGCACTACCATGAATTAAACAATCGGAGGGAGTTAAGTCTGTCCTAGGAAATGGGCAAACAATGCAGGGCAGCTGTACTTACTCATGTGGAATAATGTATGCTCTTAACTCATTTTGTAAAAATCCCCAAAACCATCTTAATTCTGTTGTTTGCTTGCTATGGATGGTCCATTAATGCCTATAACATTTCAGTGACTAATAAAGCCTGCAGTGAGAAGAGAGTAACTGACAGAGGCCCTTTGACCCTGGAAGATGAATCCCGACAGAGAACGCCCTAATATTCGCAGTGCTGGATATTTTGTAAGGCCATGAAGCAGGGCCCAGCCTATGCTTATAAATTTAACTTTCTGAGTACAGCTCCTTATCCAGGAGCAAGACAAAATAACTCAATTCTTTTCTAGGATCATTGGGAGAGTGTCTTTAAGGTAAACCCTTTAAATACATATCACATAGTACCTTAAAACTCCTGTAATTGTAACATCAGGCTCACTGCTAAATTATGCCTTTTTTCTTTCAGCAGTGGTAATTAAACCCAGGACATGTGCACTGAGCTACAGTGCTAGCCCTACTTGTTTTTATTTTGAAGCAAGCTGGCCTCAAACTTGCAACCCTCCTGTCTCAACCAGCCAAAGAGCTGGGATTGTACAAGTGCACCCCCATGCCTGCCTTGAGTTATGACTTTGGATATCATTAAACTGAATGTCTCAAGACTAACTTGTATATTTCACATGTTTCCTGTCCAGCAATTCAAGGGATCAAGAGCTTGTAGATCTCTATTGGCCATTTTTTTTATGAAGATGCAGGAAAAATATTGTAATTCTCAGAAGGATGCAAGAGCTGAGTATTAAGATCCCTTGGCCATGAACTGAGAATTCAAGTATGTCGTATGGACATACCATGATCATCTCAGTCCTTGGTGGTGTCCTGGGAGATCAGCTTGTCTTAAGTTTTACACTACAATTAAGTGCAAAGCAGAACGTCATCTCAGTGATCAGGATACATTTGCTAAAGATAGCACACTCCGCCCCACCTGACCCCTCTGGTGGCAGGTCACTGCACGCCGGGTCCTATGACTTAAGAGCTATAAAGGGTCTGGCACAAGCTTTTCCCTGCTTTCTGTCGTGGCTGGAATCAGTTGACAACCCAAGCCTGGGCTTTGGTTTGGCTCTAAGCATTACTAAATGAAGTCATACATCCTTTCTGGAAGGTTCTCTACCAAAAACATTTTTGTGTTCATTTCCTGGGTTCTTGCAGAGTACAAGAGTATAAGAATATCATGGAAGCAAGTATTGTGAGTTAACAGAGAGCAGAACGTGTTCCGTGAGTCAAAACCTAATAAAACTGTCCGAACTGGAAGTGAGCTAATAGTTTAAAAGTTAACATCACAAAATTAGTACTGTAAAGTTAATCTGGCATAAGTTTAATGACACACATTATTGTGCTACGTGATAATTAGCCATAAATGGCAAGCAATTAATGTATATGGCTGAAATTAGAAGTTTTACACAGCCAAACCAATTTGAATGGGTCCTTTTCTTCTTGCTTCACTGATTTTCCATTTTCTATCAACAGTAGCAATGTTGACAGCTTTCCTGACACCTAGCCCTTTAGGAGCGTCAGTAGAGAATGATTATACTGTTTTAAAAGTATACTTGCTGTGGAGGAGAGGAGTGCTTAGCCTGATTTGAATATTGCCCATGTATCAAAATATCCATGGTACCCTGTAAGTGATACACTTTTTATGTGTCAACTCAGAACTAAACTTCAAATGTCCTTGAAATCCCTCCCCCCTCCTCATCCTGTGTTGTGCTCATCCAGTCCAGTCTCTGCACTGATATTTCCTAGAAAGTGTTCAAAGGATACTGAATAAAGTCACAAAGGAATCCTGGTCTTTACACCTCTTCCCCATGTCCCACTGCCTACCCCTTGGGGTTGCACAAGTTTCAGCTCTATCCCAGGAGCCCTTCAGTCTCCAGGTTCAATAACTGTGACCCTGGAGGGAGCACACAGCTCTGCTTCCACCCTGGGACACTGCGGGGAGCGAGGGGGGCAAGTTTTCTTTTATTCACCTCCAAAAAGGGGCATCAAGCCCTTGAGTTTTCCAGTTTCAACTCCCCATGTTTCCTGCTTGGACCCTGAATAATTCACAAGGCATGGCTTGACTGGTAAACATTTATTTTGTGATGTTTCACAAAAAACAAAGTTATCGTAGCAGCGTAGCATTTCTTGTTTTACTTGTGCAGTATTTTCTCAGATTTAGTATTTGGAATGCGGTAGGAGCAAGTATGTTTGTATTAACGAATCTGTGTAACATGTAATAGTTCTTGAGGTGCTTTTAAAAATCAGTAGTATTTCAGTGAAACAATCAATGATCAAATGTAAGTTGGAAAGAACGTTGATAAAGAATTATTAAGCCGGGGCTGGGGATTTAGCTCAGCGGCATAAGCGCCTGCCTTGCAAGCAGGCAGTCGTGAGTTCGATCCCTGGTACCTATAAAAAGGAAAAAGGCAAAAAAAAAACCACAAAGAATTATTAAGCCATGGCTGCCGACAAAGCACTGTCACCCTTATGAATTTGGAAAGCACTTTCCTGAATGGTGCAAAGCTTGGTTTTCTTGAGTTTCGTACCTTTAAATTGTTAGCGTTTTCACTCACAACACAGTCTGATGTAACTGTGAATCACCAGGTAAGTGCTCTTCCTTGTGTAGAATAATCCTTAATAAATTCAATTAAACAATTGACTGCTGAGTGCCTAACACATTAAGATTATTTGATCAGTTGTGCAGAGAAGATATTGGACAGGAGAAATTGGAGGCAAAAAGATTAGTTAGGAATCTACTGCAATAGTCCAAGACAAACTAAATATTTACTAAGCTTTGTTATGACTTTGCTTTGGCCATTTTATTCCTGCTTAGTTTTGGGTGGAGCTTTGCAATAAAGCTGGTTATTTAGTTCTTGCATACTCTTTTGAGATACAGTATTTACTTTCTTTTTCTGCATTACCTTTTTAATTTCATTCCTCGGTCAGCCAATTAATTAAAGAAAAAAAAGTGCCTTCTGAGCACACTAAGATACTTTCAGTCTAGTCAAGAAATAAAGCACTGTACAAAGGAAAAATAGCACAACAACAAAGCAGCTGAGCACTTAGAATGTGGCTTGAGACTAAAATCCAAATGAACAGTGGCAACCACAGGTGTCCAAAGTATGTGACACCTTGGGAGATTCCTGTGATGAGCTTAGCCTTAATGAATAAGCAGAGAGTTAGAAAGGAAGCCTCAGATTTGGGGTAACAGGTGTCCTAAGATAAGCTGAATAACAAGAAATGCACCTCCTTTTATCCCTGCAAGCTCCCCACTTTCCATGGAGCTGCAGAGCTGGGTGAATGGTGAGCAGGGTATGGAAGCGTTATCTCTGATTCGGGTAGAACTTTCTACTTTTTTCCCATTCTTCAAGGCTCACTGAGACCTGAAATGCCTGTCCAATGTGTGGACGTACTGCATGTTTTCAAGTTTGGTTTAAGATCAAACAAAAAATCTACTTGTAAGAAATAGAACTGAGCATACTTTAATATTACAATTCATAGGAATTTTGTTTTCCCCCAAGAATGATGTATAAATGAAAAATACTTGTTGCCGGGCATTACATATCCCTGTAATCCCAGCACTTGGGAGACTAAGGCAGGAGGATCACTCCAAGGGGCCAGCCTAGGCTGCATAGTGAGTTCAAGACCAACCTGAGCTACATATGGAGACCCTGTCTCAACAAACAAACAAACAAACGAACAAAGGCAGGAGTCATTAGGAAAAATTAAGTGTTAATATTTGAAATCAGATGAGCTACAAACACTGACTAGCATGGTTTATACATATGTGAGTAGATTCATTTGTTCTTTGCAATGAGCAAAGGAGTACTAAAAAGTCATTTTAGTTTCATAGATGAGGGAACTGATAAACAGAAAGAAAGCAATGTACGTAATACCCCACAGCTGGTAAATGCTGGACCAGTGATCAAACTAAAGTAGTTAAGACTGCCAAGCTTGGTCACTGACTGCCTTTAAAATATTGTAACTGGTCTGATTCTTTCTTTGTAAAACCAGGAGGAAGAGTCAGAAAACAACTAGAGTTTCGCACCTGCTATTTTGTGATGCACTCTCTTTCTCACATCTGCAGCTTGACATTTGCCCTCATGTTAAAAATTAAGTGTGGATTCACATCCTCGATTTCTCCTCTACTTACACGGCTCAAGTTCGAAGCTCTCTGTCCTTACTCCCAAAGGAATGATCCTTCACAGAAACTGACACCGGCAGTCCTGGGGCTTGAATAACTCAAAGAGGATAAGATTCCAGGTCAGTAATCAACAACCCCTGTCTCAGATTTGCAATCTTCCCAAATGTTCAAGGTGATAGAGAACCTATTTTCAGGTTGCAATTAGAGAATTTATCCTGTATGGTGACAAAACTTAACATGTCAGTGACTAAGAAATGATTATTTTTCATAGATACCAAATAGATAATCTAGTGTGTAGGAATAACTCTATTCACAAATTCCACACAAGGTTATTTCTATGTTGAATATTTTTAAAGTGGCCTATAAACATTTTTTCTGCCAAACTGATCTAAACGAAGGAGAAATCTGCTTCTTCCATGCACTCGCTCATGACCTACATACAGCAGCCTTGCAGGCTCTGTGCAGATTCCAGCTCCACTCTCAGCCCCTGCTCCGGCATCTGAAGGAGGAAGTGCACCACGAAAGAGGAGTGTAGAGGCGGAAGAAATCCCTGCTGGCTCACCATGAGCTTCCCGTCTCGGAATATTGAGACGTGGAGTTTTAAGTTCCTGACCCTATTGTCTGCCTCTTCTAGAAATGGAGGTGTGTGAGCCACCACTGGGCCTGCCTCCTGCATTGCTTTGCACAGAGGAAAAACCAGTGGAGACCTTCCTTCATCTCAGCCAAGGAGGTTTCCTTTCAGAGCTGTCTCCTAAGGAGCCGCAGGTATGGTGACATACGTGTCTTAGAGACAAAGCATTGCGTTCCTGAGTTAGATGCAATGCTTGCGATGAAAATTCCACTCAAGAAAATAGCCTACTGATTGGACGCGATAGGAAAGAAACTGTGAGGGAATGGGGTGAGGGTGAGGATTCTGATTGAGATGCCAGAGTGGGGGGTGGAGGGTAGAATTGGGGTGGAGATCTAAAGACAGACTTTTTGTGCCTGATTATTTTTGTTTTGAAACTAAAGTGATCCTCTGCATGAAGTACTTTTTATTATAAATAGCAGACGAAGGAAACACTGATTGTATTTGCATTGTCCATGCGATTGCTGTGTTTTCCTGGGATATCTTACATGGTGCAAAGATCTATGGGAAATGAAACCTGAGATGCTTCCATACATGTATCACACATATACCTACCATTCTAATGTCGTGGATTACAGTACTGTAGGTATGTGGGGGTGGGAGGAGTCTACATTCAGGATTTGTTCCCAAATTTTATTTAAGCAACAGTGCCATCGAGGCACAAGGATGTGAGCAGAATGTGGTCAGAACTGTGGCCTGGGAGGATTGGGGTGAGCTCTTAGGGTGACAAAGATGTCCCCAAAGGATAGAACTGCTCCTCCTAACAGTGGCCCAGAGAGACACTGGTGAAGTCCTTCTAGGGATATTTTTCTTCCATTTCTTTTCCTCTAGTGACCTACAGAATTCTAAATCATTTTGGTCATCCTATGTATTGGTTTCTCGTATGTATATTATGTAGCCTTCAGCATCTCAGTCAACAGGAATCCATTTTTCCCTCTCACGCTGCCTGAGCTCTGGAAACGTGCCACTTGTCACCCCTGCCCTATCTCCAGTTTTGTACCCTGTCAATCTGGACGTGTGTCCTCTCCCACTGGATGGTGCCCTCAGGCCTGCCAGTCAAGGACCGCTTGCAGTTGCTCTCAGAAAAGGCCAGCATCCAGGGGTCACAGCTGGAGACACTGAAGGGCGCTGGACAGTTGCCTGGGAAACATCTAGGTTGCAGGTGAACGTATTTGTTGCATTTTGTAGGACTTTCTGGCCAAGAAGCAAAGCACAAGTGTGTTGGTCAAATATAAATTAGCAGCAGATATATAGGAAGTGGATAGGATAGTAATCACTATGCAAGCTTTTTAAAAAGGAGGAGGGAGCAAAGAAATACTTAAATTTTTAAAGGTAACCCCTGAAGGAGGAGTCAAGTTCACACAGGACTCATTAACGACTATTTTCTTTTTCATACATGGATCTGTCATTCTAAGAGTTTGGATTTTAGCCAGACTCCTGAAGATCTTGCTTTTTAAAAAATTTTATCTAAGGAGAAAAAGAAAAAAAAAAAAAAAAAAAAAAACAGAAAAAGGGTACAAGTAATACAGAATTTAAAAAAATAAACAGTAGGAAATCACTAGTTAATAGATTACATATTGTCATCTTAAAAATAGTTTTTCAAGTTACAAAATTAAAGCATACAAAGTGGACATTCAAATAGTGAGATTGCAAACAGTTCTGTTCAATGATCCAACAAAAGTTCAGTAATATGGTTATCTATCTTATACACTTAAATATACATGCAGTTGTACCCTTTAGAGCACTTTCTTTTCCTCTCTTCCTGAAGATCTTTAAAGAGTTAAATCTAAGATAAAAACCCACTTGTTGCCAACATTCCATTTGATCTGCTAATCAGAGACCAGTGTTACCTGGTCTCTTACTTTTCTCATTGCTGAGACAAAATACCTGACACCCAAAGTTAAAAGGAAGAAAGATTTATGTAGCTCACAGCTTGTAGAGGTTTCAGACCATAATTGACTGACTCCAAGTGAGGGTGGCACATGGCAGATAGAGGGGCATCACAGAGGAGAAGCAGTTTGTGGCAGGCAGAAGGTAGCAAAGCAGCCAGGGTTGATTACAGCTCTTTCTATTCCTTATGTCTTATCCAGGCCGCTTAGGGCAGGTAGCACTCACATCCTTAATCCTAGTGCCCTTGCACCTAGCATTGCCCCATGAATCAACCCTGGTATCACACACCCTAGATCCAGCCACCTCTGAAAAAGCCCCACCTATGGCTGCATAAGGCCATGGGGGACATCTCGACACAAGCCACAACACCTGGTTGTGTATCCACCTGCTTATGCATTGCATACTTTTATCTGGGATTAAATATAGATTAAAAACATTTGCTTTACTTAGATTTCTGTTGTCTCTGATTTTCAGAAAGAGGACATTTCCAGTTCTAAATTTCTAATAGTTTCAACTTAGCTAAAGCTCTACATTTCAAACCCAGTTAGGACTCAAAGGAATAATGAAGTTTCTGCTGATTGGTAAAGGCTTGACTGGAGTATATAGATGCCTGGAGAGCCCATCTCATCTCCTCTGCAGAGACTGGAAAGTGATGCCAACATAACACTTTTTGAGCAAGAAGAAACATATCCCACTAGTGATATAATCCACAAAGAAATCCTGTTCTGTTAAACTGTGCCTTGCATTAGGACAAATATATCGAGTCTCAGGGCAACTCCAGGCTATTAGGTAGAATAGACAAAGCTACCCTAATTGTGAAGTTAGTTTTGGTGAGTTGCATAGTGTGGTCCTGGCATGAATCAACTTTTTCTAAATCGAGCGATGAGGAAAGTGAGCAAGTTGGGGAGAGCTCAGAAAGAAATGGAAAATACGCAGCATGTACGGGCATGGTTTAGACGGCTGTCAAGCTAAATTTTAAAGGATGAAGGGGCATTCTTGTAAACAGTTCACAAACAGAATGACGGGTATATAATAAGGAATAAAAGTTGAGCATAATTAACGTTTTTGTGTTGAAAAGAAAGAAGCAGACTTGTCTGAGTCCTCTTCAGACTAAGGCTGTCTCCCAAGCCCCTAGTGTAGTGGAGTTACCTGTCCACATGAGAATTCTGTCTGATGATGCTACAGGCAGCTGAGTTAGAAAGAAATATTATAAACAGGCGGATAGGGCTGGGCTCTTGAAGGAACCAGTGCAGAAGACCAGATACCTTGCAACTGTGGGGAAGACACATACCTCCTGCTGTGGGCCAGACCTCAAGGCAAAAGATAAATCAAATGCACCCACATACTTCCTAAGGGTAAGCATCAGGAATTGATATTCTAACTAGGTCTGTATCATCCTGAAGAAGCCAGAAGTTACCTCCCCAATCCCCTCCAGCAAGAGTCACTGTTCTGTATTCATGCCTGCTTACCATATGACTTGCTCCCCCATTTGTCCCCACTTTAGTCAATTTTATCTGGACAATTGATGTTTTTTATTTTTATTTTAAAGAGTAAAACTAAACAGAACAAAGTAGATCGGAAGAAAACAATGTAAGTGACACAGATTTCAAAGCAAGATAAGAGGCTATCTACCATGGCTACCATAATGTCTTTTTGTTTTCTTCCAAATAGCTGTCCATATCTTCACACACAATGAACTCACACAAAACTAAATAGTATTGAACTGATCAGAACAGAGTGCTGAAGGCATTATAGACCTTCAAAACCAGACATCAGGAAAATCAACAATGGCTGCTGTAATGTCTCTTGTTTTCATTCAAATTAGCTGTCCATACCTTTTTGTATGTTGAAATTAAACAGTACAAAACAGACTAAAATCACTCTGAACAAAGAATAATAGCATTACTGCATTTCACAAATGACGAGATGGAATCAGCAGTGGATGCCACGATGTCTCCTTTTCTTCAAAGTAGCTGTTCATTTCATCACACATAATGGATTCTCATAAATTGTTTAGAGGAAGTTCTCCACATGTATAAGCCTCTACATGTATACCTAACCTTTCTGTATTAGAGGGAAAAACAAACCAAGACAAAACAAATTACTAGAAAAACACAAAACAAAAAAGACAAATAACAATAGCAAAGAGCCCAGAACAATGATGATATTGGCCTTCAAAACCAGGTGGTAGAAAATAAATAGGGTTCTTATTTTACATGCTGTTCTTCAAGAGTTCCCCAGATCACCAGACACTAACATGCAATATCTGAACGATTAATCTTATAGGTTGACCATAGCTCTGTTCTACCTCAAGCCCACCTTGCAAGTTCCCACTTCTCCCCACCTAGGACCTGTCTCACCTCATGATTTTATTCTGTAGGATCCCCAGAAAAGACAGAGTCTTTGGCAACCCATTTGGGACCCCTTCTGTCTCTCTCACAGATGGAAGCTTTTTTCTGTTAATAAATATGTTCTGCTCTTAACCTCCGTTGTTCCTAAAATTCATTCTTCGATTTTAGAGAACACAGACTCGTACAGGACATCTAGCAGGCTGGGAGTTTCATTCCCGTATACCTGTGAGGGTCCATGCAGGCTTTCAACTTTGCAGAGTTCTCTCTGGGTTTTCTTCTTGGCATGGTATTTCGACTCACTATGTGAATTATGAATATCAGTACCTTCAGGTCCCCTAGTTTTCTCTAGTAAGCATAGGAAGTTGGCCAAAATATTCTTGTGTGAAAATTTGTATAAAAGACTTACTTAAAATAACTTGTGAACACGATATATTTTAGGATTATAGTCTTCATATTAAGACATTCCTTTTAAAACTTCAGTTTTCACCCTGACTGTTACAGCATGTTCATATCCCTCAGCTTTTCTCTCACCTTCTTCCTGGTTGTTAAATTTATAATAATTACATGTAGAGTCACATTCAGAATTTGAACAAACTGCTGCACACTCTGCTGGCTCTTGCGGGATAAGCTAACCTGCCTCCCACAGTACTGTGATGTTTTCACTCATCTGTTTGGTAATTCCACATTTATTGCCCTAATTATGAGCTAATGAGTGCAGAGCTTTGCAAGGGAATTTGCATTATTTGCTTAAGTAGGACAAATTACTAGCTTAACCAAGATAAAACATTCCTTGTTTTTTTGAGACTCTTTCGCTCACCAAAGAAATGCAGTATCTATCTACTATCTAAGCCAAGTTATAGTGGCTTTCAGATAGTAGCGAACTGCTACTTTGAAAA